CCACTGCGGAAATAACAAAGAGCCTCACATTCACTAAAAGTTAAGCATCTTCTCATCCCATGCCTGGATATAAGGGTATCCCAAATAGATTTAAGCAATTGGAAACCAGGTTGTCATCTTAACTATCTATGATTTAAGTGTAGTATCAGTCTATTTTCAATATAATTATTAGGCTTCAATCTTGCGGTTAAAATGGAGATTCGATAACGCAGCCGAGCCTTGTTTGGCCGGAAAGGGGGTAATACCATCTGCATTGGGGCAACCCCATCGTAGTACAGGATAAACGGTTGAAGACTGCCTCAGTCAAAATGCTGTTTTTTTAAACCATATTTTAAGGATCATTAGTCATCATGTTGTCCATCAACAGACTATTACCATCTAAAAAGCTCTTGATGTTTACATCTGGAAATGAACTGAAAACTACTATCAGCCAAAACAGCAAATTCACTCTTTAATATTTGTGTGCCAACTGGGGCATTCCTCAGCTCAACAAAGGCACGGACTTGTGTTCCATTGTTATGTGCAATCTTTACAGAAAGTTACATAACAGCCCCTGGTGTTATCATTGACTGCTAATGGTTTACACTGTAGACAGCAGAGCTTCATTCAAAGAATGCCATTACATAGAAGTTAATGGGATGAGACAGAACATGTTTAATGAATTGGACGGCCAAAAATATTTGTTATCACCACATAATTAGCGTAATAAATTTGCAACCAGCCAGTAACAGTGACAGTGCCATTGATTGTTTTGGTGTTGAGAGTAAAAAGGCTTCAGCCACTTCAGATATGTATGTTTAATGTTAAGATGGCCTCTGATAATTACTGTACCAATTTAGCTAGTCCAGAAAACCAAGCAAGAACACGAGGGTAAGTGAGTGAATGGAGCTCATTGACTGAATGCAACAACTGCGTTGAAGAAGGGTGAGAAACAGATGTTTATGCTCACCCACTAAAGATTAGAACAAAGTCTAACCCTGAAATGAACCATTCGACATCTTCAACACCTCCCTGGAGACCTGCCACATACCAGCCTGCTTTAAGGCCTCCACCATCATCCCTGTTCCCAAGAAGCCCAGGATCACAGGACTCAATGACTACAGGCCCGTCGCCCTGACCTCTGTAGTCATGAAGTCTTTTGAACGGCAAGTCCTGACCCACCTAAGTCCCTCACCGACCCCCTCCTGGACCCCCTGCAGTTCGCCTACAGAGCCAAAAGGTCTGATGCTGTCAACATGGCCCTCCAATACATCCAATACATCCTCCAGCATCTGGACTCCCCAGGAACCTACGCCAGGATCCTGTTTGTGGACTTCAGCTCTGCCTTCAACACCATCATCCCGTCTCTGCTGCAGGACAAACTCAGCTACACGTGCCCGACTCCACCTGCAAGTGGATCACAGACTTCCTGTCTGACAGGAAACAGCACGTGAAGCTGGGGAAACATGTCTCAGCCTCTCGGACCATCAGCACCGGTTCCTCCCGAGGCTGCGTTTTTTCCCCTCTGCTCTTCTCCCTGTACACCAACAGCTGCACCTCCAGTCACCAGTCCATCAAGCTCCTGAAGTTTGCGGATGACACCACCCTCATTGGACTGATCTCTGGTGGGGATGAGTCCGCCTACAGGTGGGAGTCTGACCATCTGGTGTCGTGGTGCAGCCAGAACAACCTGGAGCTTAACGCTCTAAAGACAGTGGAGATGGTTGTGGATTTCCGGCGGAACAGAGCCCCACCTTACCCATCACCCTGTGTGACTCCCCCGTCACTATTGTGGATTCCTTCCGTTTCCTGGGCTCCATCATCACCCAGGACCTCAAGTGGGAGCTGAACATCAGCTCCATCACCAAGAAGGCTCAGCAGAGGTTGTTCTTCCTGAGGCAGCTGAAGAAATTCAACCTGCCAAAGACGATGATGGTCCACTTCTACACGGCGATCATCTGCACATGTCACTTTGACTGTCATTTCTCGCTCGTCACTTTGTCACTTGTTTGCTAGTGCACTTTATTGTTTAGTACATTTTTAACTTTTGAAATATTTTTAATTTTTAACTTTAACGTTATTCTCTCATTTTATACTAACCCATAGCCTTATTCTACTAACCCATAGCATTAGCATTTCATTTTATTTTATTACTTGTGCACTGCTGTCTTGTTGTCTATTGTTACACTGTCTACTGTCACGCACCGACTGCCAAGTCACATTCCTTGTATGTATTACAATTATTTTGGCAATAAATGTTTCCTGATTGTGGTAACGTCCCTATGCCAGCTCACAAGTGGACTTCCTCGGACTGCCGTTTATTGCAGAATACAGCATAGGTGTAATCTGGTAAGGATACCCGAGTTAGGATCCTCATAGCACACCTTGTGGCAGAACACTCTTATAGCTGCCAAGCAAAATAAAGAATGTAAGCTAACTATTGGTTAGCATGTTACAACGGAGCTTCAGATCAATTTACCACTTAAGCCTAGTTTATGCTTCTGCGTTTTCAGAGAAACACAAGGACACACAGACGCAAGAGAGTCCCTTTCGTGCCTTTTCACTCCTTGCGTGCGTCGACCAACTATTCTAGACTAGCGACGCAAGCCTCCCGCAGCGCTAAGGCTGTGATTGGTCTGCTGACTACGTCCTTTACGGAGTCTCACATTTCCGTTTTCATAGCACAATACGGCCGTTATTAAAAGGAAGAATGTTTACGAGAGAACGGATCAGACTGAAGAGCTTTTGTGGGAAGAAATGCGTAATATGAGCACTTGTACAAGCCGTCATTGGCGGACTATGAGGACGCCGGATGGCCTCTGATTCATGGAGGGAGATCTCCACCAACGAGGGGAACAAAGTTGTGGAGGAAAATACGGGACAAATGTGTCCTTGATGAAAAGCAGCAGTGTGGATGCACGGGGCAATAAAGTCTATGATAAATAAATAAAGCAACCAACGACTTCCACACACAAAGACGTGACTCTCTAGGTCGTCTTCAACAAAACACGTTACTCCACCTGTTGTTCTGGAGGTGAATCGCTCTGCAACACACGCAAGACTTTACAACCAGGAAGTGAAACCAGTGCGTCGACACAATGGCGTAAAGACGCAGACGTAGAAGCATGCGGCAGCCTTTAGACAGCGTGGGACGGACTAACATTATGATACGGGGTACCACACTCATGTCTGCCGGAGCCCACTAGGGGGCGCTCATGTTACCGCCGCCTGTCTCTAATAATCCGTTGTATTTGTAGTGATGGCAAATGACTGTACAAATGAATATGTGTTTAGTATGCCAAGTTTGTGTCGACTGCTGAACCAACCTTGTTGGTTGCATATCTCATCTCATAGGCCAGATTTTTTGTTTCTTTGTATTACCTGCTGTTTTTACTACAAACACCCCCGCAGCACAATCACATACTATTCCTATATGCCAAAGAAAGCTTTCAAAAAAGTGCATCGTTATTAATGGGGAGATGGCCATTATTGCATGGCTCTTTGATGATCAGAACGACCTTGCAGTCTTCCACAGTCTCCTACTAACTCTCTGCACCCCCATCCATGTGGGAACATGCTCTGTTCTTCCACCTTCCATGTCAGAAATACCATATTAGTAGTCTTTCGCATGCAAATGACACATTTTCTGACAAAACTATGCAAACTTTGCTGAACAAGCAGGAAATGAAGAATTCACAAATTACAGCAGGTCTCCTTTTATGTCATTAGTTAATACAAATTCATCCAGCAAGAAGTACTAGTTTGTGAATATTCTTTGTTTGTGAATCTCTTCTTCGTTATTTTTAAATCTTCACATTACATGTTAAGGTATCTTTGAAAAGGCTCAGCTTGTTTCAGTGGTTCTGACACTTCAATGCGACCTAAGAAAACCTGCGCAAATAACCAAACTATTGTGATTAGAGGGATATACTATTTTTAACTTTGTCCTCGGTCAATATATTTCACATTTCACATTGCACAATGGGGGGCATCTTTTAAATAACATGTGGTAAAACAACTCAATGTAAATGGTGAATCAATTTTTCTAGTCTTCTGACCACTCAGAGTGATATGAGACTACGTTTAAGACATTCACAACCACTCATACCATGCAAAGTGATGGTAGTGTCTTTCCCAAGGACATGTCGACATGGACTAGCGAAGCCGGGGATCGAACCACCTATCCTCTCATTGAAGGATGACCCTGCTCTACTACTGAGCATGTAGCATGAGTAAAGACACAAAATGGATGCAGACTATGCTGAATTCAAAGTAAGTCTCAAAGATAGCAGTGCTTGTGTTCTCTGCGGGATACAGGTTGCAATTCTCAGTTATCAGAGAACTCACAGCCGATTGTAATCTGAGAGGCTGATAAAAAAACACTTGCTGCAGTGTGACATCATTGATTGGCGCACAGCTTGAATCATTACCAACTGGAAAGCAGTACACCAGCTGACTGACTCCTACTTTATTTCATTACAGACGAAAACATGACATGGTAGCACTCATCCATCGTTGTTAGAGCATTGACCTGAAGACTCTTACTTGAAAGCACAAAAGGTATTAAGCAGGTTGACCTTAATGATCTTTGATAAATATTTAGTTGTGAGTCAGGGTTTCATATGGACCAGTGAAAGTTAAAGAAAGCCCTTTGGAAGAAAATAATTATTCTTCATTATGCGTATGATTGTAGGCCACATTCAAAATGATACTGTAACAAATAAGGCAGCAATTAGCAAACGTTGTTTTTGGGCCGAGTCTCTATCACTGCAGGGTGTTGGGAGCCATTTACAGATGTCAGAGTGGCTACACGGATTTTCTCTTAAGTATTTCCCTTCTCAAAGAATCTGAACAGTTCGACATTGAGGTAGAATATACAAAGTTTGTTTTGCCCACCAGCATTTTCAAGCTTATAGTATTATTCAAGCACATCAAGTCAAAACAAACACACAACACAGGTTATCTTTGCAAATGGATACAAACCACATTCAACACACAGAGACACGCACAGAACATCTTACCTATGGCGTCGCCTTGTTCATGGACCATACTGGCCAGATCCTTCATGATTTGACTGACGTCCAGCATGTCTCTCTATGGAGAAAAACACAGCCAATTTTAATAATTCAATACCACTCTTCCACTTATTGTTTGTCTGACTGCGTCCGATTGTCTGATTGGCTAAGAACACCTTCAAGGTACAGAGAAACACAAATCCTGACTTGATAATTGACTGTATTGTTATATCATCAACTGTTGTCAATTATATTCTAGGTTTTTAAATACTTGCAACGCTTTATGTCATTTAGCCAAATATGGAATACAGCCCTTACATACATACATACATATATATGTAGACAACTATGCAAACCACATTCACCACACAGAGACATACACAGAAAATGGCAGCGCAGCACTCAAGAAGGTGAATGGTATCTAGTTTTTAATAAAACAACATGAAAAAACAAATACAGATAACCAAATTTATCTCCAGAGCGTGTTGGCCGACTTATCAGGATTTACTTCTCCACCCTGGAGATCTAAGGGAGCACCCACACTGTTCTTCTCCCTACATGCATCTTCTCCAACGTCCTCTCTGCTTCTCCTTTTTCACCCCACCCCTTGATGAGGAGATAAGGCCCTGGTGTGTTTCCTGGCACTCTCTAATATATATATTTATATATATATTAGAGAGTGAGAGAGAGTTGAAGGTATACCAATTTGAGCCGGAATAGGGTGAGACTTACAGCCAAACTAGAAGGACAGAAACTAGAGCAACATAACCTTAAGAACTAGATATCCTTCAATGTTGAGGACTGTTAGAGCACTCATTCAGTTCACAGGTCTCATACAGCCCAAATGTATCCATTACTTGTCAGACCAACGACGGGCTTTGATGTATACTTGACCAACTGAAGGTGATGTTATATAAGTGCTTTCTCTAAAAGGTTCCCAATAAATGATCCAGCCATGGAAATGAAACCAAAGTCACGCAAAGTAACGACTAAATGTAGTGTGCCGTTTCCTCAGATATTTTTCCTATTCTTCGTTTTCCTTGCAATATCATAACCAAGCCTGAAAGGTGCTGTAAACACACTGAGCACAACGTTTACCTCTGTGAAGAGACTTGAACAATTGAGCAATTCCTCAACCAACTGTGTCTCCTTCTCCAACGATGAACAGAAGCCTATCCTGTACATAAGAACATGGGATCTATAATATCTGGCATATGGATTCTTGCTACCAGAAAAGAAATAGGAAAGGCACTGCATGACTTAATAGCTTCTTTGTAATGTTGGAATGTGCAACGATTACAGCATATGAATGTATATTCAGCTGGTGGTTCGCTCAATATTACTGCTTTAATTTTACTAATAGATTTCCCCAAGTAACATCAGGGACTAAACAGGGTTCTTGATTGATATTTGATGTCTTGAGCAACTTAAGAAGCTTGGTGCAAGACTTCAGATGTGCAACTATACATTCAAAGATTTGTAAGGGGAATTTTAAATAAAATTCCCTCTGTCCCTGTATAATTGACAAATTTGGACTTGTGTTACATCCCAAATATTGTGCGCTTGGTATGATTTCCTATTTAATTAAATGTCAGTGCACAGAGCAAACAAGTGAAGCTATGGATGACCGCAGCTAGGCTTTAAATTTACTCCGACTGTTTCAGCTCAAAGCAAAATTAAAGCTTTTAAAACCTGTCTGTCTATCTCCTGCTCACAGGTCCCCCCACTCTCCACCATTATGTCTCCATGCAATCACAGCTGCGTTTGCCTAACCCACTGGGCCATCCATCACAGGTGGCAGAGACTGTTGTCGAACCTGGCAGCCATGCTGCTACTTGAGGAAAAAACATTCAAGTCCGGCCAAAATGGCCCCTGGCAAACCTTTCAATGCAAAACATCTTTGGGCAACCCTGTCCATTATGCTGTCATAGAATTACACATTTATTTTAAAGCACTGGGTAAAATGGGGAAAAAAAGGCAGGGCGACCCCCTTATATGGTAGTGGGGAAAACACTGGGGCTTGTTTCATAATGACATGAACAGTATGTATCTAATTTAGGAAATAGTGTTTGAAAGTGAATGGGCACACAGGAAGAAGGAAGGGATGTGATGGGTTGGGACCCCCGCCTGAGGGAACTCTCTTGCGCCCTTTATTTCGTGGCTTTAAATGCTGATAATCAAGCAGCTACTGGATAACAGCATTGGGATTGGAACCAAGACCAGATATTTTTCTGTAATATTCCCAACTTCAGCTTTACTAAAGTATCTCAGCAATCTTCTGCTTTAGTCGCTGTGTGAACCTGATCGGCTGCAGGAATGGAAGTCCAGGGGGAACTTTGATTTGACCCCATCCTCCCAGGGTTACTTGAACCTCATGCAGCTCACTGTGCCAGCCTTCACCTGTCAGTTCATCACTAACTTCCTGACGCACAGGACACAGCAGGTTAGGCTGGGAATTAATAATATCCTGTTGCACCGACTCACTTAATTTGGTACAAAACGAGCTAGAAAAGGATTATTGTGTACTCATGACAAATAAATATCTGAATGCTTCACACCGTTTTAAAACATTAGAGTCTTGGCTACAATATGTACCAACACGCTTGAAATGATTCCAAACACAATTCCAACAAGTTATAAAATAAGATATGCAAATTAGTCCAAAAATTGGCACACGGCCGTGCTTATGTACATTTATATCAAGTATAAGTTCTCTCAGACAAACCCTGCCAAAGACACAGAGAACAATAAACATCCAGCATATGAATCGTAGATGCCCCTCACCTTTGACGTTTTAAACAAAATCATGAAATGAATCGCCGGTTTCTGCATGGCAGGACATCATTTGTACAGCGAACCCTGACCTCACCTCACTGTGAGAGGTGGGGTGACAATATTGCATTCACCAAAATTGCAGCGAGTCAAATTGTGCTGGCGCTTATCTCAGCAGTCTCCTGTCAATCCTGCCACTGTTGTTATTGTGTGCGACTGATGAAAATAACATGCAGAAAAAACAACACTGAAATGTCAGACTGTGATTCAGATATCTGTTACATCTCACACCATGGCCGCTCCAGAGACAGCAAAAACAATTAAAGTTGAGGCTAAGATAACCAAAAAACCCGAAAGATATAAGAAAAACTAGCCTGCCGGCAGCTACTGATTGCTGCTTTGGTCACCGGCGCCTCGTATTTCTGCTGTTGTAAGGATCTGTCTGGTCGATCCAAAGCGTTGCAACTTACAGATCCTCTGATAAAGAATGAGGAAAAAAAGGGACTCCTGTTTCCTTTTATTTCCATTTTACATAAGATTATTATACTCATCCACTCAGTCCCTCCATGAATATCTGCTGTGTGATTCTTGTGTCTCAAAATCCATATTTTCTTTATTTAATGACAAATTTGCTGAACACAGTTTGATACCGTACAAGGTATCAGCACAAGGAAGATGATTTTTAGCAGAGAGCAGCAGGGATTCGAGAAAGTGCAACATGCAGTGCGCAAATCTCGCAGCAAGGGTTATATCAAGACTCTGGGGAACACAACTGTTGGTATTTGAAGCTTTGGGAGTCAGATCGAACATGAAAGGAGATGGTTGGTATGTATCTCAGGTGTAGAATGGTTTAGGAAACACATAAATTGACTCTGTCGTGTTGATTGTTATTTGGCCGTGCTCTATATTCGCCCTCCCGAGGCACGTCGGTCATCAATTGCTGTCAAGGCTTATATTCAAGTCACTTCCCTTCTGTCCCATGTACGGGCAAATCCATAGCCCACGAGGGGAAAATGTTTTTTTTAGTATGTGCCAAGTGGCTTAGTGCAGCTCTGTGCTCCCAATCAGTGCTGAATACAGATCAGTCTGCAGCCTTCCACAAACTGAAATTGAACAAAGCAGGAATGTATGTAAAAATCAAGGCGTCTTATCGGTTTTAATGCCACAATGTGGCTGCTGTCATTGGCAAAGTTCAGAACCGGAGACAGGTGGACTCAAACACAGACTTCACGACCAAAAAAACGTGTCTAGGGCCAAAATGCTTACCAGAGCCTCAAGCAAGCAAACAAACAAACATACAAAAACGCACCAGACATCGACAAGAGTACTCAGGAAACCCGTTCATTGAACCGACAAGATACAAGGGACACACAGGGCTTAAATACACTGGCAAGGTGCAGGTGATTGGACACAGGAGGAAACAAGGGACAATCACCCACAGGAGAAAACATCAGGGGGGAAGTGAAGTTAACTCAGAGACTCGAGAGGCCTCTTAGGTGTTAGACCCTGCCAAATTAAAACGATGTGCACCCAACATATACAGACAGGTTTTTTGAATTAATTTTGGCCAGCGTCATTTGTTATGTGTGTGTGTTACTGTTTGCACACTTGTGCTATATTCCATTCTTATGACAGTTAAGTCGGGAGTCCACTGAGAACCAATTTAGCCAAACAGCTGGAGGCCAAACCAATCTGCAAACTGTGGAGAGTGTTTGCATGATATCTGTTTGTTTGTTGCTAGATGTTCAAGAATAAGTGTTACTTATTTATTACTTAAGATATGCGCTAGATCCTGTCAATGCCTTCTTTACCCTTTCATTCTGTTCAAAATCACAAGGGATTAAGCAAATTGTAACTTTGAGAAACCGCAATGACAGCTCAGGGTTTATGTTCACGTCGACGTATAGCAATGATCACACACACAACACATTGTAACCCTGGTACAGATTAAAAGAAACAGTTATATGAAGATATGGATGATTGGCTTCGAAAAATACATTTATCTGCTTTTCTCTCTTATGCCAAGTGTGCTTAATGCTGATATAACATCCTCCCCACATCTCCCACCCGAGCCCAAAGGTATCTTGCAACACTTGCATGCAGAAGTGCACACTTACTGTTGAGAAAAGGGGGGGGGGGGGGGGGCAATGCCATGTTTCCACCACTGAGAAACACATCTCTTTTACCTTCTCCCAATAGTTATTATATATTACTATATATGTAAAATGATGTTTCCTCACCATCTGTAGCCCAAGGACCTAACGCCTCTGAATAAGGATAACGTGACGCCAGCAACAGGGCTTGAAG